AGAGAGAGAGAGAGAGAGAGAGTTACAATTGAATTGCAGCAAGACTACAATCATCAACCTATCTTAATTCATGTCCCTCCTTTTGGGATCTCTAGAGCTCCATAGAAAGTGTGAGTTGGTGCTAAAGATGAATTCAGTCTTCATAATAGCTCAGTTTCTTCATGATCACCTTCACCATCCTCCACTTCATTCTCTTCATCATCTTCGGGAGCATCAGGATCCATACCCTAGACAAACCCAGTTTCAGACATTCTCTTGTGTACATTTTTCAAGAAGAAAAAGGCTATACATACAATTCCGTTCCCTGACAGTGTGATGCAAACCTAGATATATGGAACTTCTACAATTAGTGGGGGAAAGAAGCTATATATACAATTCCGTTCCCTTGTTATTCATAATATTTGTACAAACTAGCTGTAGGTGCAGTTATGATTGAAAGACAAACCTTCATCTGTTTGTCCAAACGCTCAAGACCCTTCTTTGCAGCATCATTCTGCGGGTTTATACTGTATAGCAAGAAACAAAAGATTAATCCCAATGTCAACAGATTTACTACGTAAAAACATTTTATATTTGATTTCTTATATTTATTTTTCTAGGTAAAACTCTGTACAATAAATGTTCTTATCATGTTCTAGTAAGAGGGTTTGCGGACTCTAAAATATCATGTGTTTAGGTGCCCTCTTCTGTTGAGCCCCTTAGCTCCAACGTTTTGCTTCTTTGCCTGTCAACTTTCACAAAATCCTCATATTTTTTTTTGTAATGATAACCTGCACGAGGCATCCACAGATCCATTCCAAACACATCATATTATTTTAAGTAATTTCACCCATATGTTCCTACCAGTTCATAATTCTAATATTCCTAATATAATATCCAGAACCACACCTGCTCCTATCCGGGACCTTGCAAATCTACTTCACAAGAGTACCCTCCACTCTTTAACTGGTCAATATCAGCGAATAAATAATTTATTATGTACCAAAAGGTCCATTACTTACCATTGCATTTCTTTTGGTATATGTATGACAGCAATATATCCGATGATAATGCAAATATCTTCAGTGGAACAGCATTTTGTACATTCATGTCAAAGAACATGGGCATCTTTGTAGAACGTTCAAGATCAAAGTGTCGTGTTCTTGTAGGGGATATCTTGTTGCAGTGCTATGCTGACGACTTTGCCATGGCATCATATTTAAATAGAAGGAATATTCAACTTGCACTAAATGTGAAAAACAGCATGTGGGAGAGTTTATCATGTCTAACTAACCACAAGTGCAGGCAATGAGGATCCTTGAAAAGAAGGAAGTTGGTCAAAAAAAAAAAAACAAAAGTACATATGGAGAGCACTGTGCCCATTTAGATTGGTCAATAAATTGTAAATTCACAAAAGCCTCATCTGAAAGTCAATGAATTCCAGTGGTTATGCAGTGCAAAAGGAGTTCATGAAGAGAAAAATCCCATGGAATTGAATTAAAATAGTACCTCAGTGCTGTCTGATAATGTGTTACTGACTCTAGCAACATATTTGACTTGGAAAAAATCTGGGCCAGCTTAGTATGAAGAGAATCATCTTCCCAATCATTAAGATAACGCTCAAGGAGTGATATAGCATCACCATGTCGCCCCTCCATAACGTGTAGATCGGCCAAGGCTAAAGCAGCTCCAAGATATCCACGCTCCAAACGAAGGGCTGATTCATAGAACTTCCTTGCCTGCTCGAAGTAACAATGAATGAAGCTAAAAAAAGTCTAACAACACCATAGAACCTGATCTTGGTAAGATTAATACAAATGAAATAAAACACAGATGAAGGGTCAAGAAAGAACTCAATAAACCATTTTATGAAATAGAAATATACGACTCCCCATTTCCTTAAATCTCTCTCTCTCTC